CACCGCAGGGGACTGGTGACATCTTCGGACAAAAGGAAGTTTGAATACCCCACCCGAAGGGCAGTCGTCGGATAACCGTCGCCAGAGGCCTGCTCGCCCAGACCCGGATACGACGGGCTCTGGAGGTTCCGAAGCCCCCTGAGCAGTAAACGCCTTACTATTTTCGGACATACTCCATGAAAATCTTCCTTGGTCGCTCTTAGTTTTCACCGCTCAGACTGGACCTTACCGGCAAGGGAGACACTGCCAGGCACCGAAGTTCCCGCCGGCATCGCTCCAGTCTCCATCGCGGGTACTTAAGCCCCTATACCACGACAAGGTGGCGACCGCATAGGGGAAGGTATCCTAACCCAATCTTAACCTAGACGTAACCTGACTATTATAAGTGTAACCATTAAAGTAATTTATTAGAAGATACTGTTTAGGTAACTACCGTTAGGTAACAAACTTTAATTCAAAATACTATTTAGGTAACCCCCTTCCGTGCCCCACTGCTACCGCACCATTATTTGCATACTGTAGCTGGAGAGAACGGAGAACCTACGTTCATAACGTCATATCGGCGGCGCGACTCTAGTAAATTCTCTGTCTACCGAGCGCATCAATTGTCGAAGTTAAAACTTCATACATAGAATCTACTCCCCATCCCCCTTTGACAACCAAATCTCATGTCGATTGGCAACGAGGGCCATTCGGAAGTACATCCAATTTATTAACTTCAATATACATATAATTTAACAATATTGTTTCCGCGTACACATGAAGAATTCGATGTAGACGCGGTTCCCGAAGAATTCGATGTAGACGGCCTTTCTAGAAACTGCCTGCTACGGGTGGTTTTCGCCTTGATTTAAGGACAGATGGGCCGCTTGCCTGATTTTATACATCTTTCTACGCGGATCATCCTTCCCCCTTGAGAGGGAGCCGATCAAAGAGGAATAATGAATAGCNGCGATCCCCCCCCCCCCCCCCCCTCCACACCTTAAGAGGGAACCGATCAACGAGGAATGATGACTATCTCTTACATGTATAGTGACTAATACGGATGATGAATATACAATATGTTAAATATTATAATGTGTTAATGTAGGTAACAATCTAAATTTGGAAAGACAACCTTATACAGATGTGTATATATATATAAAATAACAACATTTGTTTCTTCTTTCTATTAAATATTGTATTTATCACCAGCGTTTCATACTTGATAATCAATTCTGTATTTAGTACACTCTACAATTTTTATATTATATCAACATTAACAATAATAATAATAATAATATAATAATAATAAAAAAATATAATAATATAAAACAGTTGTTTTTTGTGCTCCGCAAATATAGTGTTAATGAATGAGCAATGAAAATGACCAGTGACTAATGAGAGGTGAGATTAATTGGCGCGAGGCGGCTGAGCCATTGAGAAGAACAGCGATTCGACCGCTCGTTGGCTCGGAAGCTTCGTACCAACTGATCTCGCCTCTCATTAGTCGCGTAGTTTAATTACGTCTTAATTAAGTAAGTAATCAACAAAAAATACCCCCCACTGCCTTTGTACATATCTTGGCTACGTCTCCTTGGTTTTATTTTTTCGATTCTAACGCTAAATCTCTCGATATTTAAGAAGATCTGTCAACGGCGATCATCTTGTAACCGCATGCTTGCGAGATTGACACCACGCCGGTTGAATATTGCAAATATCTCCACAATAACCAAATGCCGTTATTTCGAAGACCAGAACAACGTAGCTAAGACTTTTTGGAGTCTAAATTTTCCACTTCGATATTGAAGCGTCTATTCTGGGCAGCGTAAAGCTCTACCTTTAAAAAATTAACGAGCTGATGTTTATTTCGCCGCCAGGTCCCACAATAAAGGAGGATGTGGACGAGCCGGCATTTGTTTCACCACCGGGACCTACTGGAATGTTACTTGTTGACGTGACGACGTTTGTTTCACCATCGTGGTGTACGAGGGGCGGAACGATGTAGGAATTGTTACATAGCCTTGTGACTTATTAAGTTTGAATACTTCGTGCGGCAAAAGTGCACTGTGATGGACTTTGATCCTAGTAACTGGAATCGATAAGAGGATGTGAATTGAAAGAATAGAATTAAGCCGGTATACTAAGCCTAAGTGTAGCATATTACCCATATGAATAAGGACGTTACAAGTGTTAATTGTGGAATGTTCTCGCGGAGCCTAAATTCTGCGTTCTCGATTTTGACGCACTGAGAAATGCACTTTTGTACTGCCAAATTCAGTCCAAATATGGCAGCAGAAATGTGCGCATGTGGTCCAAGTATCTACATGGATTCTCTTTATGCATTGGCATGTCAGAAGATCCTCATACACCTCTGGATAATCAGCAGGGTTTACTTCATCCACATATCCAATTCTCCTCCTTCGTCTTCCTCGCTACGGAAAAGATTGTGAGGGACCGGCATTCTGTCCTGAATCACTTTCAGGACCGAGATCAGTGATTCCAATTTTTTAATTTGAGCTGGATTAATATTTAAATCCAACACATATACTATATCGTATGTCCCGATGTAACGTGAATCAAATTTACTTGTTCTTGGTTCTTTTAATACGTAAACGTCTTGCGCTACCATGAATTGTTTCGGATTTGTTCGCTTATCGTAATATCGCTTATAACGGGATTTTGCGCAGTTTAAGTTATTAGTAGTTAGATTACGAATTTTAGTCATCTGAGTAATGAGCTTAGTCAGATAAGACCCCTAAGTCGGCATATTTTCTTCTCAGGGCAACGCTCTTTGCAGTCTCGCAGTTTTTCCGAAGATTAATTCGTGGAGTGTGAAATTCGTGGCTTCCTAGACGGAGGTGTTGTATGAAATCATGGCAAATGGTAGGTAGAGATCCCATTCTTCATATGATATTCTGTAAATATAATGTGACTCCTTTCCAACGATCCATTTGTTTGTTCGGGGGTTGTTATTTGTTGGATTCTAAAAATCTCGGCAAGATGCATTCATTTTCCCACGAAACTGGTGCTTTTATGTGTTAGAATAGATTTTGGCGTACGAATATTGCAATGAAGTGTCTCGCGAACGCGTCAGCTATTGTCGTGGTTTTAATATCGGGTATAGCGACTACTAAGCAGTATTTTGTTAGATTGTCTTACATAGTTAAAATGTGGCGGTTTGCAGCGATTGTTTCTGGTAGTGGTCCAACTGTGTCCATGGCAAGTTCGGCAAAAGGTTCCAAGGGTGTATCCGTAATAATCATAGGGGTTTTTGCTCTGACAAGTTTCTACTCTTGACAGCTCTTTCGTTTCCGAATGAATTTTGATGTATTTTTTCTCATCTCGGGCCACAGATATTTTTCATTCGGATGATTGAGGGTTTTTATTACACCTTTATGACCTTCGATTAAACTACTGTGTGCTTCTTGAATTAATTCTTGTGAAATTTCTTCTGCAAGGGCGATAATGTTATTCGAGCAAGCTGGCTGTGGCAACACTGGGTTAATATCTGGTTCTTCTCCATCAGTTGAACTGCTGATCTCTTGAGATGATGATTCATAATCAGGTATAGACTGTATTATATTTGGTTCAATGATTTGGACAGGCGAGCGACCGTCGATGAGTGGTGTTTGCATTATTGTCTCTTCCAATCTTGGCTCGGCTGTTATTATAGTTGCATCCATTGAATTACGTTCGTCGAAACTGCTTAGGTCGGCGGTTATGGTACTTTCTCTCTCTCTCTCTCTCTCTCTCTCTCTCTCTCTCTCTCTCTCTCTCATCTTGAACTTCGTTGCTCATTGAGAGTGCGGGTTGTGGAGCTGGTGAAGAGGATGTCGCNCGAAGATTAATTCGTGGAGTGTGAAATTCGTGGCTTCCTAGACGGAGGTGTTGTATGAAATCATGGCAAATGGTAGGTAGAGATCCCATTCTTCATATGATATTCTGTAAATATAATGTGACTCCTTTCCAACGATCCATTTGTTTGTTCGGGGGTTGTTATTTGTTGGATTCTAAAAATCTCGGCAAGATGCATTCATTTTCCCACGAAACTGGTGCTTTTATGTGTTAGAATAGATTTTGGCGTACGAATATTGCAATGAAGTGTCTCGCGAACGCGTCAGCTATTGTCGTGGTTTTAATATCGGGTATAGCGACTACTAAGCAGTATTTTGTTAGATTGTCTTACATAGTTAAAATGTGGCGGTTTGCAGCGATTGTTTCTGGTAGTGGTCCAACTGTGTCCATGGCAAGTTCGGCAAAAGGTTCCAAGGGTGTATCCGTAATAATCATAGGGGTTTTTGCTCTGACAAGTTTCTACTCTTGACAGCTCTTTCGTTTCCGAATGAATTTTGATGTATTTTTTCTCATCTCGGGCCACAGATATTTTTCATTCGGATGATTGAGGGTTTTTATTACACCTTTATGACCTTCGATTAAACTACTGTGTGCTTCTTGAATTAATTCTTGTGAAATTTCTTCTGCAAGGGCGATAATGTTATTCGAGCAAGCTGGCTGTGGCAACACTGGGTTAATATCTGGTTCTTCTCCATCAGTTGAACTGCTGATCTCTTGAGATGATGATTCATAATCAGGTATAGACTGTATTATATTTGGTTCAATGATTTGGACAGGCGAGCGACCGTCGATGAGTGGTGTTTGCATTATTGTCTCTTCCAATCTTGGCTCGGCTGTTATTATAGTTGCATCCATTGAATTACGTTCGTCGAAACTGCTTAGGTCGGCGGTTATGGTACTTTCTCTCTCTCTCTCTCTCTCTCTCTCTCTCTCTCTCTCTCTCTCATCTTGAACTTCGTTGCTCATTGAGAGTGCGGGTTGTGGAGCTGGTGAAGAGGATGTCGCAGGTAGTATGGCTCCCCTTGAGGATATTTGTTGCTGTCTTAAATGCCCACGTTTTCGACGGAATGTTCGACGTGGTATTTCCATGATATTTTCTTCCGAATCTTCCGAGTGGAGTTCTTCGTAATTTGGTTTAGGCTTCTCATTTCTTCGCATTTCTCGTACACGTTGGCCAATGGTGCTGGTTTCAGGGGTCGGTGGGTTTGAACTTGAGGTTAACGGTAAAAATACCGTGGTTGAATTTCTTAATAAAGCACCTGCGTTTTTGTTCATTTTCCCTGATTTGCCCAGAGGACGATGATCAGTAACTAATGTTCCATAAATATAAAACCTGAAATATTGCACAATGTAGATCATTGCCAAGCATTTCTTTTCTGGGACTGAATAATTTGTCTCGGCTGAATTTAAACTACGTGATGCTAGCTATCGGTAAGTCTGTACCGATTTCTCCTTGGAGAAGAATTGGAGCTTCACAGAGTTCGTCTCGTAATTTTTCAAAACTTTGCTGCTTTGTTGCTCCTCACCCCAAATGAATCTGATTCCTTTTTCCAGGAGTTTGGTTAATGGTTTTGCCTTCAGCGAATAGTTTTCGATAAAGCGCCTATAGTATCCGGTCAACCCCAAGAATTGTTACATGTTCTTCTGTTCTTTTGGGTACTGGAAAATTTCTTACTGTCTATAGTTTGTTGGGTCCAGTTTTACTCCTCGTTCTGATACTATGTGTCCCACGTAGGTTACTTCTTTTCGAAGATATTCTCATTTGTTGGTTTGCAAGGTGAATCCGTGTGCCCGCAGTCGTTCTAGTAATTTCCGGATTTTTATTTCATG